TAAAAAACTATTTTTCCAGGTTTATTCTATTCCACCTGTACTGTCAGTGGCCCACCACGCAACTGCAAACTACCAAGTTGATTTGAGGGAGCCTTCCCCAAGCCACATGTCTGGTTCATCAGTTCCATCCTATTCTACCTGTACTAAATGTCAGCAGTCCACCACGCTACTGCAAACTACAGAGTTGATTTGAGGGAGCCTTCCCCACACCACATGTCTGGTTCATCAGTTCCATCTCTCTCCTCTAGTGTTTCTTTCTTTTTAATTACAGAACTTAGTAAACCTTTGTATCTTTGTAACCTCTACCTGTCAAAATCTGCACAAGTAGTTCAGAAGTTTCTGATGAAACAGGCATACAACATAAGCACATAATCTACTCCTGTAGAAACCCAGCCTATAAGCAAATACTGGCTTACTCGGTATTTCAGAACAATTCCCACTCAACTAATGGCTGAACCACATTTATTTTTCCTTCCCCCAGTGATGCTTTGCCTTTAAGAATTCAACTTTTCCTTTGTGTTTTGTGCAGTTAATTCTCTTATTCCGCAGAGGCAAAGAACTTCACAGTTCCCGAATTTTACCTTTGAATGTTTCCATAACATTCAAAACAGAATGTACTTACCATTAAGGATATCCTCAAAACTGATGCATTCATCATTTCCCCTCAGAGTATCCAGTGCTATGTTTGCGCTGTGAAGAAAGGGGAGACGCTGGACCTGTTAAAAGACAGCAAGAGTTCAAGTTTCTGCAATCTGGAAGTGTGAAGGTTTGTATTTGGATTTCTCAGTCTGAAGTGACTGAGGAAAGTGGCGGGCAAAGTCACTTCTTCCTTCAGAAACAATGATGAAGTAAGAGAACCACTGGCACACATAGACAGCAAAACCTAACACCACCACCTGCTATTGTTTACCTCTCTGTTTTGAAAAGAGCAGCCTTTTTCAGAAACGATGAAATAAGAGAACCACTGGCACACATAAACAGCAAAACCTAACACCACCACCTGCTATTGTTTACCTCTGTTTTGAAAAGAGCAGCCTTTCACTAGATTTGTAGCTTTCACTGCAGTGTAGCTACTACAGCAAATAGTGCAGTTTAAAAAAAAAAAAAGTAGTGGGTGTTTTTTTTTACCCCCCTCCTCTGTTATCACATGAAGCTGGGGAGGCTCACTGCAACACCCTGAGGTCAGTACTGGGTGACTGACATACACTGCCAGTGCTGGGAAAGCACATTCTAAGCTTCCTACACCTCTGACACAAGTCAGGGTGTAAGTGAAAGAGCTATAGTGGTTTTCACATCTAAACACAACCCTCCGTGCAATTAATCTAAATTATAATTGCATTTCTCTGATCTCCACCCAGTTACTTTCAAGACTCTCTTGTGCCCTTCACCCACAGGATTACAAAAGAAATTCAAGTGGAACACGCAGCATTCAGATCCCAAATATTCTGAGAATGGCACATCCTGTACTTACAACCGCATTCACTACGAGTGGCGATACTTCAGTCATAGCATGAACATATTGTACAGCCATAAAATCATCATGTAGCTACCTCTTCACACACAAAATATGTCCAGGACTTCCATAATCACTACTGGTACAACTGTCAAATTCAAATACACTGTTCCAATAAATATTTTGGAACAGTGAAATTAAACCACAAGAGAATTTGCGTATCTAACACGAAGCTGTGAGTGAAAGACCTTCTAATCACCCTATTTCCCCCACCATCACCCATACCTGTGGGGACACACCAGCAGGATACCCTCACCTGGCCTCATCTTCTGCCACATACTAACATCAACAGGAAAAAAGACTTTTATCTCCTAAGACACCACAGCCAAGATGAAGGAATATTTTCATACATCCTGTCCCACTTTCACACCTTCAGGACCAGTCATTTCTACCAGGTTTAATGTAGTTCACTGTGGTTCAGTAGCGCCTGCTACACTGGAAGGGAGTATAAAGCTACTCCAACTCACTTAGAAAAACATCTCTTAATAGTTGGACAACCTTCAACAAGCCAAAAAATAGTTTACTAGGATCAATGAGCTTTCTGTGTTTCCTAAGGGACAAAGTCAGCCTCCAGTTACTCTCCATCCTAGATGACAAGGAAAAGGAGACAGACTCAGCATCCCAATTAAGAGTTTAAAACTAACTCCCTGCAGACCTCCCCTGATCTTGCAAGAAAGGCTGCAGAACAATAATAAGCACATAGCAAGTTCTCCGCTTCAGGCTTCTCATTACTTATCCGTGCCCAAATGACTACCTGCTTCAGATCTCTAAATCTTTGCCCTACAAACGCAGGGATTCCTTCCCACAAGGTCATACGTTCTACGGAGGAGAATATTAATTTTAGGAATTAATACTCGATTCCTCCTGCTTTTCTCTGAAGGCATACAGGAAGCTGGAGTCCACAGAAGAGCTAGAGCAGTTACCAATTCACCCAGTAGCCAATAAAAGAACAGCAGCCGAAAGGCTTTAGCATATTGACTGTTCTGGAAACTATTAATTGCAACGTTTGGTTTTCACAAAAACAGTCTGGTGAAAGACTTTTTACTGACAACATAAGCTATTTCAACAAAAGACCACTCTGAAAGCACGTTCTGAGATAAAACATTTTTCAAGTGGTTTAAGCTATACCAGTTGGATACGAATGCCTACCTGTTTCACTGCTCTGAATTCCATCTGCAGCTTCAAAGTTGCATGGAGTCCTTGAATGTTTCTCAGTGTATCAAAGTTTGTTTTATCTTGATTTAACTGGAACTATCAGAAACAACATTGATTTTTATTTTAGAAAAAGTTACTTTTAAGTACAGGCATAGAAAAGATTTATGAAATCCTACTTAGATGAAGATGCTTATCAAATTTATATGTAAAAATGCAGTGATTCTGTCACATGCGTCTCAAATGTACACGTAAGAGAGTGATGCAGTTATATTTGTTTCCTGAAACTGAAATTGCTTTTTGCTGGATTCTATTACAAATCAATAGTAGCAATTTAATTTTGTTATTTTTGACAATCAAGACACGTACCACCACCAAGTGGTGTCATTTTGCACCACTTTACGTTGCTACAACATTGCTTCCAATTCATGCCGACAAAGTCTGGCTTAGAGTAAGAACACAAACTTGAAAGCCACAATTGATATTATTGTTAGCCATCAAAGACTCTACTTGAAAACACCTGCAATACTTTTCTGATCAAGTGGGAAGACAGAGCACCACGTGTACTCTGCTTGACTCTGAAAAACAAAAGAAAACTTGTAATTTTACCAACTACTCTAAAAGTAAGAGGGAAAGAAAATCTACTCAGTAGAGGGTGCTTTTAACAAAGAAGTGTTGGCTCACAAACACTGAAGTACACAAAAATAATTTATGTTTACATTAAAGTTAAGCTTGAGTAATTCAGTCTCAAATTTGGGTTCTATACTAGTCATATGCCTGTAAAGTTGACGCAATACAATATTGTAAAGTAAAGCAAAAAATACAAATCTCATGTTAAAACCTGTACCCAATCACTATGACAAAAGCCACCTATTACAATAGTATCATCCCATTTATGCAAAGGGATCTCAAAAACCAACAGGAAAATAAAAACCAAAGGCATAACATACATTTTCTTCATAACAACCTGTATTGAATGCTCCTCAAAAGTTAGCAGAAATTACCATTTATATGCCTCACCCTGAACTTACAGTTCTGGTCATATTATTTTCCCACTTCTTTTATTTTATAAAGGTAGGTGTGTCCTAATCTGGGTAGACAAAAGATTTGGTTTCTACTACTATGACTGTAACATACTATTTACAGCAGTGAAAACAGCTGTAACTACCTCAGGTTTTTTCCCCATTCAAATGAACATGAAAATAATTATTGGGAAAATCAGCCATAAACTTGCAGAAAAACTAACCAAACAACATGTGGGGGAAAAAAAAACAACACCAATTTACAAGTTTCACATACTCCTTACGGATCACACTGCTTTATGTATTTCCGTGGATTTTTTTCACTCTAGCATGTAATCTTTTAATTACGTACGTTTTCTACAGCAAGAACAGAATCAAAAACTAAGTTATTGCAGTCAGTTGTAACAAAAAAAAACCCAAACCACAAACAAACAAAAAAAACCCACAAACAAAAAAATCAAATGACAAATAGCTCTGAAACATTTATAGTATTCATATGTAAGGTCGTGAAGCTGGTGTCACGTTAACATCAGTCTTTAAGCCCAAGACAACCCTAGTGTGGTCAGAGTTAGAATACATTACATTCAGACCTCGTCACGCTGATTAGCTCAGCAATTTGGAACATTGCACCCAAATACTGTGTTTGCTTCAGGACATTTTATAACAGCAAATCTGTGCTGACAAAACAGACACCAGAGACAGGATTCAGTTCAACAAGATATTTAGCGAAGGCGGTCAGTTTAATCTCCCTCTACCTTAAACCTATTACCCCAGACCACTCCTAAGTGGTCCACAAGTGTTGATGGAGATGCGCAAGAGTGCATACGCTTACGACAAACTCTTAAGTGTAAAATTTCTAGATGGGATCAAGTAATTTAATGAAAAGTATGTGTTCACAGCCTGAAAATGAAGATAAATGGTAAACCTATAAACAAAATGGGAAGACCAGCCTTCCGGAAGTGACAGGTGTGCCCCCCACCTAACTACAGAGGCTGCACACACAACTAGCTTAGTAACTTTTAGATGACTAAACCTTAAGTAAATCCCTACTTGGAAACTTGCTTTCATACCTGAAGTAAGGTCACAAGCGAGAAGTTAACATTAAACAAATTTGCAAACAATATTATTCTTATAAAGAAAACATTACTAATGTTGAACACCTTTATCCTGTTAAAGGCAAAGACCCTGCTCATCCCTTGTTACTGCATAAAGCAGTCCAGCTCACTGTATTTAATTTAAGCTCCATAATTAGATAAGAGGGAAGATAGCGACACTTGATGTTACACTTACATTTTTTTCTGACAACTCCAGAGGGTGACTGGGCAACAACTCATTTTTCACACTTGTAAAGCTAGAAATAAAAGTAAAAAATTGAACTTCAAATCAATCAAGACGTTTTTTAAGTTGCATTCCAAAACTTATCTCAGATACAAATACCAACCCACAGAGACACACATTTAGCAGTTTGAACTACCAAAAAAACCCCCAGTTAATAGTGAAACAGCAAGTAAGGAAACTAGACAGCACTATCAGGAAAAATATTTTAAATTTATTAATTAATTTATTCCTCTACCTCCTTCATAAATAGAAAAAATATTAATAAATAAAAACATCATAGATTTAATTGGGTCCAAGCTACAGAGTATCTGGTTTAATCACAGAATCACAGACTGGTTTGGCTTGCAAGGAACCTTAAAGATCATCCAGTTCCAACCCCCCTGCCATGGACAGGGACACCTTCCACTAGACCAGGTTGCTCAAAGCCTTATCCAGCCTGGCCTTGAACACTTCCAGGGATGGGGCATCCACAGCTTCTCTGGGCAACCTGTGCCAGTGCCTCACCACCCTCTCTGGGAAGAACTTCTTCCTGATATCTAATCTAAACCTCCCCACTTCCAATTTAAACCCATTACCCCTTGTCCTGTCACTACAGGCCCTTGTAAAACGTCCCCCTCCAAGCTTTTGCAACTGAATATTGCACATACCTTCCCCCCACATTCATAGTTGTATTGCCTGCATTTCAAACCCTGTGAACTTATTTTAGATTCATTACCCAAAACATGTACATAGTTTTGCATTCATGTAAAATAGCAAAACCCAAACCCATTCTCTTTACTGTAATAGCTTCACTTTTTGTATCAATCCTGAAGTTAATTTCCCAGTGCTACAGCACACTCATATACATGTATATTAAAACTAGCATATATTTCTTAATTATCAATGCCTTGCCATCTCTTGAGCAGTATCACGCAGGTAGAAGTCCATTAATGTTACCTACTTCGAGTGATGTTTCACAGAAAATTCACTCTTGAAAGAATCAGATTAAGTACGTGCACTTCAGACTATAGCTTTTGTGACACATCTTCCAAGAATCTCCTTTAAAAAGCCATTATTTAACACATGCTTTCTTCCTATAGCTGAAGTTCAACATTGGCTACGGCTCAATTCAACACAAAAAAAAATATAAAACACACCCTCTACGCAGGAGATCATAACCTTCAAATGATCCTGAAGCTGAAAAATCAGCAACTGGGATACTGTCCTTCAACAGATAAGTAGTGCCTCTGGAATTCTGGAACAAAAAAAAAAAAGTGAGGATTACTTTAACAGAACCAGAACCCTTTCATATGGCTCCTTAGGCCAAGACAGTGAAACAAAATGCTCAAATGCTCCTTAAACTATTCATGTACCTACCCTATACTTTAGAGTCTCTTAAAAAAAAAAAAAAAAAACCAAACCAAAAAACCCCACCCCCACACACAGAGAAACCAAACAAACAAAAAACACCCCACCAAAACCCACACTAAATTAGAATTTTTTCAGAGGCTCTGATAACAGTTAAAGTACTGGCAAGACATTTTTTGGAACTGTCTGAAACAGTTCAACACATAATTATCCCTTGCTCATTCCCACCCTGGACTGCAGGGATGGAAAGGAAAAAGGCAGGTCATGCTCGGCTGACAGGACTGAAGGGAACATGTCTGACCATTCCTTCATTTACTTCAATACAGACACAATCAAGTATGATCAAACTGATTTTATCCATGATTTAAGGCTTCCATAAAGAGAACAAGATGTATTCAAGTGGTCTATTTTGCCAGTTGACTGAAACTGCGAAACCAGTAACTTGTAGCAGAAGACCAAAAAAACACACCTCCATAGCCTAAGTAAATCCATTTTAACCCAGACCACTATTTTCATGCCTAGTTCACTGAAGTGATTTTAGAATTGTTGATACAAATTGCCCCACCAATAAGCCAATGGATAACAAATTCAGAAAGGTGACAGCAATAGTCGCTGGAAAGTGACAGTGATGAGCTTCCTCCAGCAGCACTGTTGGATCCAACACAAAATTCATGCTTACACCTAATGTGTTTTGTACCAGTATGTTAACTGCCAGTAACTTAACAGCTATTAGAAAACCCTAAAATACATGTTATTACATGCATATAAAGCATCGACCAACTAACATACTCAACACTAACCAGACCTTTCTGAGATAGCTTTAAGTGAAAGCATTAAAGCCAGACATTACCAGTAAAATGTGGCAAAAGGGAAAATCAAAGTGAAATTCAAACATAAAGTGAAAAACATAAAATACTCCCAAAAAGTAATGCTATCAAGACATGCTAGTGCCCAGCCCGTTTTAGGTGGCCACAGCACTGCTCTCCACCACGGAGGCTGAAGGCATGACCTCCCTGAGCGAGAGCTGCCGCGCGAGAAGCCCCTGGCTCCTGGAAGGGCTTTAACGGCAGCCACGCGTCCTTCGTGCCTTCCCAGCCCCGAGCACCCACGAAGATGCCTAGCGAAGACCGGCCTGCGCAGGGAGGGGGGGACAAGAGACGCCTCTCCCCCGGTGAGGATCTCCGGCCGGGCAGCACGAGTGCCCGCCATGGCCGCGCCGGACCCCCGTGACTCAGCACCGCCCCAGCGCCCCTCGTCCCAGG